GGGGAGAGGAGGGAGGGAGGGAGAGAGATATATAGAAAGAGAGAGAGATAGGGTCAGAGATGTGCAACATAAAGTAAGAAGTAGAAGGTTATTAATAGCAGAAAAGTCAGTAGTGTACAAAGAGAGGGAGACAACAGTTAAAGGCGGAACCCCTGTCGTCCTGTACCACGGCGTCTTTGCCATGGATTCTTTAGCTCCTTCTTATCTCAAAAAGCAAATTTTCTTCAGCCCTCGAGGGTTGGCCAAATTATTCTCACTCAATTGTCGTTCCCCAGCCGTGGAGTATTATCTTTTCCGATTTTTAGAATTCGAATCAAGATAGATGAGCAAAAAGTTGTGAGTGTTCCGCACCGGGGCGGACAAAGGACAAAACAACAAGGGGAGAGATGGGCACTCGGAAGTGGTCTGCGCAAAAACCAAGCGAATAGATTCAGTTTGGCTTTGGAGAGGGGGGGGGGTACTTTTGCTTTCGCTAAACTTGACTGAGAAAAACGTTTCAAAGAGAAAATTACTAGATTACCACGTCCCCAGGTTTTGATTAAATATGAAAGCGGCAGTCAAAACAAAACCGGCTGAATCAAGAAAGGGAAAGTCCTTCATTATCCGGCAATTGACATGTTAAGGACACACGCGGTAAGCAAGAGCCTAACCTTGTACGAGACCTTGAACACAATTTCAAGCAACCTCGAAAACAACATCACATAGTGTTGTATAATAATAGTATTTCTTTGGCTTACTTTGACACATCATTTTTTATACAAACACACTGAGCAAGTTCAGTTTCAGAATCAAAACCCGACACTATGAAGACACTGGGAAACATAATAGATTAAAACATTTAGGGACAGAACTGCACTTTTGGTTCGGTGTTTCTTAAACATAGATACTTTACTTTAAATTATTGATAAGGATATTTTAAGACCCTGTCGGATGATTCAATTTCCAAACATACCCCCGTCGACAGGCAAATTTTCTGACAAGCTGATGTGCACCAAACAAAAACAAAAACAGCAAATGTGTTGTTCACATCGTTAACGATAAGAAAAGTACTATGTTTTAAGTACGAAATAAAAAAGAACAGCGTAAAGAAAGAGATATAAAGGCGGGGATACATGTTTTGTAAGATGGCACGTTTATCTTACGTGCACATAGTCTCTGCTTCTAGAAAGTGGAGCAGTTTTTGATTAATCAGAACATAGGGGAAACGTAAGGGGGGGGGGGGGGGGGGGGGAA